AAAACCCACCAGACCCAACCCTGCCCTGTCCTGTGACCCAGGGGGGCAGAGTGAGGAGCCACAGGACATTTGTGGGGACAGGAACCAGGGAAGGGTTTGGAGGGGCAGGGCAGGCTCAGGGAGCACAGGATGGGACAGGAACCCTGGGAAGGGTTTGGAGAGGCATGGATGGCTCAGGGGAATGCAGGATGGTGAGGAGCAGCTCTCCTGGTGTGGTAGTGTTGGTGTTTCCCTGTGCTCTGGAGGTGACAGTGCCACCCACACGTGGCCTTGCACAGTGAGAAGGGATTTTCCCAGGGATGGCCACAGAAGGGCCCTGTGTGGGGCAGCTGCTGTGGGAATGTGGGACATGGGGCTGTGCTGGGACCCTCCTGATCCAGACCCTTCCTTGGGGCACTTGCAGGGGCTCATGGGAGGGGCTCAGTGCCTGCTCTGTGTGGCCATGGACCCCAGGTGTCCCACAGGCTTTTGGGGGGTCTCCTGCTGAGCCTGGACACACACAGGGTTTCACCAGCTCTGCCCCATGAGTGGGCACAGAACCCCCCCCAGCAGGGATTGCCCTTGTGCCTGTCCCTGGAGTGCTGGGAGGGGTCACTGGCCTCTGCTGAGTCCTTCAGCTCCTCCTCAGCACAAACAGCTCAGGCTGGTGCTGCTGTTGCACTTTGGGACACACCTTTTTCCCTCTCTGAATGATGCACTTGCTGGATTTTTTATCTTTCCCCCTGTGGCACACACAAACTCCTGTGCTGAGCTCCCACCTGCCCTGGAGAGGAGCCCTGGGGCTCTCATCCCATCCTGCTGGGGTCCCCCAGCTCCTGTCAGGCTGTGCCCCCTCCAGGCTGTCCCCAGGCTCACTCCTGGGATCTCACCTGGAGCAGAACTGCCTGTGATGTGGGGTGGAACTTCAGCCTCCCCTGCGCTGACAGTGACTGGTAGAGGCTAAAATTAACTCTTGCATCATGTGGCCAGGGGTTTTCAGAATTGCTGCCAGGAACAAGAGCATTTCCTCTCTGAAAACCGAGCTATAAAACTGGGCAGCTCTTACTCACACCAGATCTGTGTCATTTCTGTTGGCCTTGGGGTTTTTGAGGAGGAGAACAGAGCTGGCTGAGTTCTGCCAAACTCCCAGAACCCAGTTTGGGGGCAGGGGTGGGGATCGGCTGGTGATGTCTTGGGGCCCTCTCCACCCCCATCCAGGCTGGTTGTTGGTGATGTCCTGGGTGGCCTCTCCATCCCCATCCAGGCTGGCTGTTGGAGGCAATGGCTCCTGTTCCTGGACAGACCCAGAGTTCCCACGGGGCTCCACAGCAGAGCACAGAGATGATGGGGCGCCCCAAAGTCACTGCATGGTTTATTGGTTTTCTTCTTGCTCGGACTCCATCATTTTTGGGGGCTCAGGATGATAACCCTGGAGCTTCTGGTGCTGTAAGGAACAGGACACCAGGAGTGTTGGCTGCGCAGAAGTTCACAAGGATTTCAGGCTGGACAGGGTCCCTGCCAACCCCAGCCATGCCACGAATAAACTCTCAGGGAGCACCTGGGCAGCCACATTCAGCTGCATCCCTGTGGAGATCAATATTCTGAGGGGCAGCAGTGGCAGTTTGCTTCTTTAGCTGGTGCTGAGTGAGGACTTTAATCTCCCAGCGGTTTCTCCCTCTGAGCAGCTGTGCTCTGGGGAGTTTTTGAGGGGAACTGGGTTTTCCTGCTGAATGTCCTCCTCTGCAAGCCCTGAGGACCTGGTCCCTCTGAGAAAGTGGATTTTCCCCCTTGTTCAGAGGGATGGGAGCCCTTTTAGTGGCAGATCTTGTGTGCTGCTCCCCCAGTACCTCCCAACGAGGTGTGAATTCTGGGTGTTGTGTTCTGACGCTGTGGCTGCTGGGATGCTCTCCCTGCTAATTAATGTTCTGTAATTTCAGTCCCCCTGAAATCACCACGGGTGTCTCTCTGGGGATGAGCTACGGAAGGAACTTGTAAAGAGTGAGTGGGGCCTGAGCCACTTCTGGGTGTGCTGGAGAAACCTGCTAACGGGACCTGACCCCCTGGGGAAGGGATGCAGGAGACCTTTCCCTCTACCCAGGGATGGAATTTCCATTGTGGCAGCAGAAATCCAGGTTTGGTGGCTGCAGGGACAGGAGTGATGAGTGAGTCTGCTCAGAGTGGAGAGCAGGACAGGAGTGATGGCTGAAACTGCTCCAGAGTGGAGAGCAGAGCCCTGTGCTGAACAAAGGGAGCAGGCTCTGGGGATGGTGGTGGGAAGAGCCTTTCCTTGGATCTGGCAGCAGCTGCTGAGGATGGAGCTGCTCTTTCAGCCCAGGTGGGCACACACAGGGAGGGAGGGAAGAGGGGCTCTCTTGGCTCTGCTGCTGCTGCCTGGGGGGAACTGACCCCTCAAACCAGAGGGGAAGGCCCAGGACTGCCCAGTTTGCCCACCTGTGCCATCTCTTAGGAGAGCCCACATCCGGGCTTGGTCCTGGAGCTGCTTTCCTGCCCCTCCATGCCCAGCCCTCTGTGCCCATGTGCCCTGCTGGGGTATCTGGTGAGTGCAAGGGGCAGCCTGGTCATTTCTGCCCCATCATTTGTGTGGGGGCTTTATTTCAGGGGCAGCCTGGTCATTTCTGCCCCATCATTTGTGTCTGGGCTTTATTTCTGGGTTTTCTTGCTCTGGGCTGTTGATGTTCCTGGAACTGCTCGCCCCAGAGCAGGGCCCTGTGCAGCATGGCCAGAGCTGCCCCTCGGATGTGGCAGGAGCCTGAAATCCTCTCCAGGATAGGAAAGGTCGCCACAACTTCCCCTGGGCCCCGAGCACTTCTTCTTTTGGGGCAGCACACGGAAGGTGGGGTAAGAAGATCTCTGAAATTGCAGAAGTGTGGGTTGTCCTTGGAAACTGTGTCCAGCCGTGGTTGGGGAGGGGGATCTGGGTGGGGATGGATTTGGGATCTGGGTGGGGATGGATTTGGGATCTGGGTGGGATGGATTTGGAATTCAGCTCCTGGCCTGGGGCTTCCTGCTCAGCTAGGAAGTGTTGGAATGGCAGGAGACCCCAGCATGGGGGGCTGCAGGCTTTGAGGGCTCTGAGGAGTTCCCTTCTCCCATTTTACCACCCTTGGGAGGCACCATCCCAGGTCCCTGCTCCCCCGTGGGTTGTTTTGGATCTTGTGCAGTGCTGCTGGTTTCCTCAGGGATATTCCCACCTTGGGATGATTCTCTGGTGCTGCTGGGGAGGCAGAGCCCTCAGCCTGTGCTCCTGGGGATGCACTTGGCTGCTCCCACCGAGGCTGCCGGGCTTTTGGCTGGAATTTTCTTTGACCTCATTTGGTTACCCAGCCCTATGTGCTCAGCACGAGGGCAAAACATCCCAGGGAAAGGAGCTTATGCAAAACCAGCCAGAGCCAGTGCATTTCCAGAGCCACAAAGGACTTTCCAAGGTCACACCGCAGATTCTGAGCCTGGGAACAACTCCAAGGGGGGTGAGGAGGAGGAGTTGGACCTGTGGGGGAGAGCAGCAGCACTTTGGGACATGCTGTGGGTGACTGGGGGGTCACCTTGTCCCTGTGGGCTCCAGGGTCCCACAGCAGCACTTCCCTGAGCCTGGGCTGGGCTGGGGCTCCTGCTGCAGCTGCTGGGGCTCCGGGGGCCTGGGGGAAGAAGCATCCCCAGTGAGGGGAGCAGCCCCAGCCCCCAGCTCTGTCCTGCCCCAGCCATTCCCCAGCTCTGCCAGGTGTTCTCCAGCTGCTCAGAGGTGCTGGGAGGGGCTGCAGGGAAGCTGGGAGTGTGTGAGCAGAGGAGGTGCCAGCACAGGGAAGTGCCAGTGAGGGCTGGCAGCGGGCACGGGCACAGTGGAGCCGTCCTGAGTGGCACAAGAGCTGCTGCTGCAGCCCCTCTGTGCTCTGCTCACATCCCCAGGGGTGGCCCTGGCACCTCGGGTGAGTTTCCTTTCCTCTCAGCTCTTCTCAATCCATTCTCCTGCCAGGGGCACAGGGGAGCGAGCAGCACATCCAGGGTTGGGGCCAGAGCCACGAGGACCTCTGGGATGGGATGGGGTGAAGTAGCAGCAGTAAGGGACAAATGCTGGACTCCTTTGATGCAGATTTAACCCCAAATCTCTTGGTCCTGCCTGGGCCCCTCAGGGCTGAGTGCTTCTCTGCCAGGTGATGCCGTGTTCTGGGAGTGAGCAGCTCTTCCAGCTTGGGGGGGATCCTAAAGCCCCCCAAGGGTTTCTAAGAGTTTGTTGGGATTTTCCCTCCCCCAGCTCCATCTGCAACGACCATGCTTATGACCAGCCCTTTGAAGACTTAATTGCAATTATGAATCTTCCTTTGTTCCCAGGTCTCCCTTAATTGGCTTCCTGTGCAAACTTGAGAGCTGGTGAGAGCAGGGCTGAGTTCTGGGAGGGGGCTGCTGGTGTTTGAGGGAGCTGCTGTTTGTGATGGAGCCGCTGTTTTCTGGGGGAGCTGCTGGTTCTGTGATGGAGCTGCTGCTTTCTGGGGGAGCTACTGTTTGTTTGTGATGGAGCTGCTCTCTGGGGCCCTGAGCCCCACTCAGGGCAGGCCCTGCCTGCTGCTGTGCCCAGATGCTCACAAGGGTGGCATTATGACCAACCTAAGCTGATTTACATGCGTGCATTTGCAAAGTGCTAATCTAGCGGGATGTTTTTTCCTTTCCCCCTCGTCTCCTTTTCTTTTCAGCCCCCTCTAATCTCCTGCTCTCCCTGCCAGGTTCCCAGCTCCTCTGGCTGGAATGGGCCCCAGCTAAATCCTTTATCTGTCTGTTTGGCAGCCCCGGGTGCAGTAGTTAGCAAACGAGTGACACTTTTCCTGGCTCATTAATTAGATTTACTGAGCTGAGCGCTTGCTGCAGCAGCAGGGCTCTGGACAAGGCAGTTCTGTATTGTGTTTCTGAGAAATTTGGGATTTAAAAAAAACCAAAACAACAAAACAAAGCAGTTCCAGGGCAGTTCTGGTCCCATTGGTCGAATCCACAGCTCCCCTACTTGCAGTGCTGCTGGGAACATGTGGTGTTCTCGTGTGCAGCTTTATTTCTGCAATTTGCTGCTGCATGGGCACTTCTGGCTCTGTGTCATTGTTTTGCTGCTCAGAGACTTTGAGGATGGGAGGCTGGGTGCCCGTGGCAGGATGTCTTGGTTAAGGCAAGTGGTTCTTGTGGGTTAGAAATAACCTCGGTGGAGAATTAGGATGTTTTATTATAAATGTGCTTTTTTGGCATGTCTTGCTGTGCCAGGTTTATAAATGGGATTGAGAAGGTTGCAGTGGGGGATAAAAGTGAGAGGATGTAAGAAAGTTCTGGTTCACCTGTGCAGTTGAGGGACTTTGCTGAGCAGGAGCCTTGGCTGCTCCTGCTGGAGGGGCAGCTGAGGCAGAGAGGTCTCATATTACTCTGGGCTTTGATCATGGACCTGTGGGTCCCTCTGGGAGCTCTGGACAGCAGCAGCCTGTGTTGTGTTCCTTTAGGGGTGAGCAGCCTGGGAGGTGACGGGTGCTGGGTCCTTGTCCCCCCTCGATGGGCACTGGGACACCCGGGGAGCCTGGGGGATGCTTCCGGTGCTGCTCAGTCACAGGTGGAGCTGGGGCAGGGACAAACCCAACAACTCTTTAAACACGGAGCTTTAGGGTGCCCCCCAAGCTCCTCACCCCCAGAACACCGCTGCAGGTCAGTGGTTTCAGTGTTGGATGTTTGTGCCAAGGAGCGAAGTGCCCGGCACAGGAGGAGCTCCAGCGCTGCCCCCGGGTGTGCTGACAGAGCTGCCGCGGCTCCAGGAACGAGATTTGGGGACACAGAGAAAAATATTTTCAGCTTTCCTCTGGGGAGGAGAGCACAAACAGCGGAGAGGTGTCCCAGAGCTGGGGAGGAGAGCACAAATACCGGGAGGTGTCCCAGAGCAGGGACCGAGGGCACTTTGCCCTTCTCCCCGTGGGTGCTGCCCTCCAGAGCAGCAGCGAGTGTTGATCCTGTGCCGGGACAGCGAATTGCCGCTAATTGGCTGCCCCTAATCGCGCAGGGGCCAGGCCGGCTAATTAGCGGTGTCTTTACAGCTCCCCTGTTAATTTGGAGAGTGCGGGCATTCCCGAGGGAGCCGGGACTGGACCCCTATTAGCTCCGGTGTCCTTTGATCCCTGCCGGGAGCTGCCGCTGCAGCCACCAGCCTGAGCTCCGGTAAAATAACCTTGTAGCTACTTTGAGTCGGCTTTTTGAGGTTAAAAAGCGCAGAAATAACGCGCGGTTGCCCCGGAGGTGAGTGAGAGGGGGGATGAGCTGCTGCCGGCCCGGCGGTGCTCAGGTGGGAGGTCGGGATGTGCCCTGAGCCCCGCTGGGCTGACAGGGACCTCCCTCGGTTCTGCCTGGGCTGTTTCTATTTTAAAATTATGAAATGTTTAAAAAAGCTCATCCAGGCACCTCACAGAGCCAGTCCCCAGTGCCCAGGTGACACCTGAGCTGTGAGTGCTGCTGTTAAAATAGAGAAGGTAGAAAAGCTGAGACAAGCACGGGATCATTCTGGTGATGGATTTTATAGCAGCTCAGAGGTAGTTTAAGGTGCCCTGGATCCCAGAATGCCAGGGTGGGCCAGGCCTGAAGGGATCCCAGCAGGGCCAGAGCGCAGGGCACAGGTGAGACCTGAGCTGTGAGTGCTGAAGTTAAAATAGAGAAGATGGAAAAGCTGAGACAAGCAGGGGATCGTTTCTGCTGATGGATTTCATTGCAGCTCAGAGGGGGTTTAAGGTGCCCTGGATCCCAGAATGGGCCACGCTGGAAGGGATCCAGGGGTTCATCTCCAGCAGGGCCAGAGCTCAGGGCCCAGGGCTGTGTCCAGGCCCCTCTGAACACCCCAGGAGGAGACCCTAGCCCCTCTGTGGTCTCTGCCCGGGGCAGGAGCTCTGCCTGCTGTGCAGGGATTGCTGGGGTTCCCCACTCTGAGCCAGGTGTTTCCCCTGCCCTCACACGGGGTTAAAGCTGTCCCTGGTCCCAGGGAGCCACCAGTGTTTCCACAGGGAGTGGAACTGAGTGACTGGGAGCTCTGGGGACACAGGAGCAGCCGGAGCTCCAGGTTTGGGATGTCTCAGGGGTGCTGCAGGAGGACAGGAACCCTCATTGGGGGCAGGTGAAACACCTGGGTGGGTCCCACTGCTACCAGGGAGGGCTGGCCTCCTGGGGGCTTGCTCTTTGCTGTGTGAATCTAAACTGGTTGTGGAGCAAAATGTCTCTGTTGGTCAGGAGTGAGAAGTTTCATTTTTTTCTTGCTCAGGTTTTGCTTTTTGAATCACAGGCAGATGAGGGCAAACACTGTTTTGAAATGATGACTTGCAAGGTTTTGTTCTGACTCTTTGAGTCTCTCCTTGTGCACCCTCTGGGCAGGTTGATTTATTTGGCGTCCTCTCCATTCACTGAGGAATTCTCTCACCTCAGAACAGTTTCTTGGATTATTTTGTTCTTTTTGCTGAGCCTCTTGCAGCCCTGGTTTTGCTCCTCCTGTGGTTCAGTTTGCAGCTTTGGTTGCACACCCTTGGGACAGCTCAATCCTGAATTTGGGGTCACACATCTCTGTTATCACCAGGGCTGTTCCAGTGGAGGGATGGGACAGAGGTGCCCCCTTGGCAGCTGTTTGTGATGCTGGGAGCCCCCACGGGCTTTTTTCACCTTGGGAGTGAGTGCTGAGTCCTGCTCCTTATGCTGCAGGACCCTCTCTGTGCCTTCATCAGCTGGGGGACAGCACATCCCAGAGCCGAGGGCAGTGCTGGGACCCTGCTCCTGATATTTTGGATTTTTTCCTTTCTTTCAGTGGAGACTTTATCGCCAAAACTCCCCAACAAAGGTGGTTGCCCTTTGGAGCTGTTATTGTTTGTTTTCACTCTCGAGTTTATTTTTTGGCGTTCACAGATCCTTCACCTCCCGAGCCCAGCCTTAAGCTGTGCTGTAACACAGGTAATCCTGGGGCTGGGATTTGGGAAATCCCATTGAATAACGCCTTGGCAGCGACACCCAGGGCTGGAATGGAGGGCTCTGAGTGGGGCTGACTCGTCTTAGGCTGTTCTGAGCCCCCAGTGGGTTTCCTGCTCCAATCCCGGGGCCGGGAGGGGCCGGCGATGAAACCGCGGGTGCTGAGCGGGCACAGCGCTGCCTCTGTGGGCTGGGGCTGGGCCTGAGCTTCTCCTCTGCTCCCTGCGGCTCCCACAGTCAGCCCTGCCCTGCCGGGGATCTGGGGCTTGCTGGGTGCTGTTGCTTGGGGTTACGGGATGCTGGGTGATGTTGCTGGCACAGGGGAGCAGGCAGCCAGCCCTGGGTGTAACACTGGTGCTGCTGGAACGGGGGAGCACACAGCCAGCCCTGGGTGTAAAACCCTGCTGTTGGTACAGGGGAAGCAGGCACCAAGCCCTGGGTGTGACACCCGTGCTGCTGTGCCCCTGTTGTGTCACGTTCTGTGAGTGCTGTTTGACACTCGTTCTGTGAGTGCTGTTTGACACTCGGAGCACTCTGAAACCGCTTTGCACGTTAGGTGCTTTCCCTGGCCCGCGGTGGGAGCCTCTCCTGCAGCCCAGCTCTCAGAGACAGAGAGCGCTGGTCTCTGGCTCTGGGGCAGCTCTGCAGTTGGGGCTCTCTGAGAGCTCCCCAGTTCTCACATTTCTGCTGTAAATGAGGTGTTGCAGTTCAGAAAGGCAGCGTGGGCAAGGCTTGTTCCTGTTCTTTCTCCCAAGGCTGGTACCTCTCCTCTTCCCAAAACACCATTTCTGTCCCACTCATAACTCAGGATTTGTTTCCTCCTGTGAGCAGTGGGATGTCCCATGTCATTCCTGCCCTTCAGTACCATTATCCTGCAGGCACAGGCACTTTCGTTATTCCAGAAGTAGATTTTCTTCTTATGCCAGGAGTTTTATCTTCTGCTTTGAGATGAAATCACTGCCTCAGGAACTCTTGGGGAGCGATTCTCCGTGTTCCTCCTCTGCTGCCTCTGCCCCTGTTGGCTCAGGGAGTGGGGACTCGCTGGAGTGAGGGTTCACAGCCCAGCACTGAATGTCTGCTGTGTGTGCTCATCCTCAGTGTCACAGCAGCCTATGTCCCAGCCCTGTTTGAGCCGGGCTTTGGCTGGCACAGCCTCCTCTGCAGGCACCCTGGGAGGATGTTTGTCACCCCAGCTGCCTCCTGGATCCCCTGGTACCCTGCCTTGCTGTGGTTTGAGCGAGCATCTTATCAGCCTCATCTCCTGCTGCGTGCAGCGCTCTCGCTCGCTGACAAACACCGAGGTGAAGCTTTTCTTGAAAATCGCAGCTTTCTCCCCGCACTGCCCCGTGCCCCACAAAGGCTTCCTCCAGCTGCTCCCTCCCTCCCTCGCTTCGGCTTTCTATCTGTGGCTGCTCTGCGAGGTGGAGGGGAGGCAGCAAAACCCTGCAAGCAAACAGCTGAAACCCAAGGTTTTCTTCTGTAATCTAAGAAAAACAGTTTCACTGGAGGAGCAGGCACCAGGCACGTGCTGCTGCACTGCTGGGCCCGGCTCGGTGTCCAGGGCCCGGCTCGGTGTCCAGGGCCCGGCTCGGTGTCCAGGGCCCGGCTCGGTGTCCAGGGCCCAGATCTGTGTCCAGGGCACAACTCAGTGTCCAGGGCCTGGCTCGGTGTCTGGGGCACATCTCCATGTCTGGGGCCCGGCTCAGTGTCTGGGGCCCAGCTCGGTGTCCAGGGCACATCTCCATGTCCAGCCCTTCCTCTGCAGTGAGGATCTCCCAGAGCTCCTGTCCTTTCCCCCCAGGATGAGCTGAAGGAGGCAGAGAGCTGAGTTGGAGCTCAGAGGAGTCAATGATTCTCTTTTCTGAGGATCTCACCTTGAAGACAGCTCTGGTTAGGATCCCTTTGCTTTAGACCAAATTATTTTCCTTCTGCAGCATCAGCCCAAGCTCCTGCTTCCTTCAGCGTCATCAAGCTCCTTGTTCTGGTTCCCCTGGTGCCCAAACCCCTCTGGCTGCTGAGCCACGTCCTGGCACCCACCCAGGTGAGGGATCTGTGTCCCTGCACCTGCTGCCACTGTCCCCAAACTTGTGCAGTGCGCTCAGAGCTGCTCCCCCGGCACAAGGGCTTTGTTTTTCCTCTCCCATTTCCTGCCCAGGATGCTCAGCCCCAGAACAATCGGGGCAGGAAAGGGCGTTGTCCCGGCCCGAGGGTACCCGCGGGTTTCCAGGTGCCGGTGGAGCTGCGGGATCCCCTCTGGAAGGTCCTGGGCAGCTCCTTGGCAGATCCTTTCTGTCCGAGGAGATGTTTCTGGGATCTCAAGATCTCAGCTCACTCCATGTGTTACCTGGCCCCGTTCTCCTGCCCTTGGAGCCTTTCCTGGGGTGGTGGAGCCCCCGGCTCCCGGGATTGCTCTGCTGGGGGGTGAGAGGGCTCCTGCAGGGGGGTCTGATCCTCTCCACTGCTTCATTTTGGCTCTTTGAGCTCTTCCCCCTGGTCCTGGGCTCCACCACTGCAGATGGAGCTCCGAAGAGTCCCCTGGGTGTTGGAGATGGGGCTCAGGTGGACCCCAACCCAAGAGAAGGGATTGTCCTTGCTGGAAAGGCAGCTCTGTGCCCTGTCCCAGCCCTGCAGAGCTGCTGGTGTCACCTTGGCTCCCGAGGGACCTTCTGCTCCTGGGCATGGAGCAGATCCTGAGCAGATCCTGAGCACCAGGAAAGCCCTGGAAAGGTCCCAGGGTGTGGAGGCAAGTGGGGAACCCCAGCGGGTCCCAGCTGAGTGGAAAGTCCTCGTCAGGGAGCTGTGATGCCCCAAGGCTTTCCCGTGACCTCTGGTGGCTTCACAGCTCAGCAGCAAAAGATGGGTTTTGTTGATAATTCTTTTTCATACTGTTTCAAAACTGTTTTTTTTTCATTTTTACAAATTGTTTGTCTCAAGCAGGACAAGGGAAAATCTAAACCCAGTGGTTAGCAGGTTCCCACTTCCCACCACAGGGTAAATGTTTACTTGGTTAGTGTTAATTAACAGAAATATTTAATTTGTCTGCTCACCTTTGTGTCCCACAGAGATGAATGAAGCCTCTTAACCAAGCAATCCTGGCTGAAAATTCCCCAAGGGTCTGGCACCCATGCAAGGACAGCTTCACAGATAATCTCGGGATACTTCACAAGCTGAGCTTTGGTGTGCTGGGCCTTCTCTCACTCACTTTAAAAAGTGGTTTTTAAGAAAGTAATTTGTTAGAAATTCATTATAATAACTAATAATTTAAAAAATAAATATTTTATAATAATTAATTATTATAAATTGCCCTTTAGGATGCTCACACCTTCAGAGGGAATGGGTTCAACCTAGTCCTGAGCCCTGATGCTGGGAATTGTTGGGCATCTGCTGGCAATGGGGCAAAACCTTGGGGCAGGTGGGTTTCTCTGAGGACTTGGGGCTCTTAAACCCAGGTGCTGTCCCTGCTGTGTGGAGAGGGCTGGGCCATCACTGGGGTGGTGCCACGTGGAGCTGCTCAACACCCTCACAAAAAGCAAAGCATTTTCCAAAGCCTTGACCTCAACACTTGTTTTTCTTGGTGTTCTCAAGATGCTTAACAGGGCTCCTGAAAGTCAGATTGTGTTCTCCAGAGCTGTCCCCTGTCACTGTGCTCAGCGTGGGTGGCAAGGAGGGGACAGCAGGGAAGTTTCTGCTCCGTTGTGGTGGCTGAAGCCAGGCCTTTCCCACGGAAAGTGCTTCCATAAGCACTGCCCTGGGAGGAGGCTCAGGCTCCTGTGTGGTCCATGGCACAGCAGGAAGAGTGCGTTCTGTGGTTTGACAGTGACAGCAATATCAGGGTGGGTTTTATCTCTCATTCCCTCCCGTTGTGTGCCAAGGCAGGCAGGAAGGGATGCTGGGGTTGGTGCGGGGTGAGGAGCCCGTTCCCCCCGAGGACTGATCTGGTTTTGAGCTGGCTGGTGCAGGGGTGTCTGTGAGTCACCCTGGGCTCTTACTCACTGCCTTTCTCCTGCCTCCAGCCTGGCCGAGGGCTGGGCTCGATCTCCGCGCTGCCTTGTGGCACTGCGGCACTCCTCCTGGTGCTCCTGGCCCCGGGCACAGGTAAAGGATCTACTGCAGGGTCCAGCTCAGCTCTGGCAGTGAGGAGGAGCCCAGCAGCCCCTCTGGGGTGAGGGGAGTGTGGGTACTGGGCAGGTCAGGGGTACTTGGGGTGTTTGCTGTCACCTCCGGGGAGCTGCTGGTGGCTCCTCTCTGGGGCAGGGCTGGAGGTGGCTCCCTGCATTCTCAATGAGCTCCAGCAGCCAGGCTCAGCTGAGCCCTTCCAGGGAGCTTCTGGCAATGGAGGCTGGGTGGAGATGGCCATGCTGGGGACATGGGGCAGGGAGGGCTCCGGAGCCTCTGCCAGGTCGCAGTGGCTCTGGGGCAGGAGTGGGTGAGGCTGTGGTGGCCACAGCCACTGCTGGGTGCTGGCCCCAAATCCTGGCCAAATGGGCAGAGAATTGAGTGTTTTAGCTTCTCTGGGAATGACGTGGCTGTGACATTGCACAGCTTTGAGCTGTGCAGGCTCAAAGCAAGGGCTGCCTTGCAGGTGGTTTTTTAGCACTCACAGCTTTTATTTCTTCTTACTCGATTATTTTTGTGCATTTGTGTTGCTTCTAAACAAGAGGCAGAGAATGTGTGGGCTGGATCCATCTCAGTGCCTTGGGAGAGGGGGACAGCTGCCTCAGGGTCCCTCTGGGCTGCAGGGTAAGAGGGAATGGGCACCTGGGCACCTCTGTTTGTTCAGGTCAGGAACATCCCCCGTACTGCTCCTGGTGTCCCAGACTTGATGAGGGTTGGCTGGGAGAAACCTTCCTGGGCAGCACAGGCTCTGCAAGCCAAGGGCCCCAGAGCAGGGGTGGGATGTGGCAGGGCTGCAGGCACAATTTCACAATGTCCTCTGTGCTGGGCTCACATCCCCTCGGTGTTTTCCACTGTTGCCTCAAGGGCAAGTGGAATTTCTTTCACGGTGGCTGTGTGACAGCAAGGGGACAGCTCTGGGGCCTTCCCTGCCACTTGGGGTGGGTTTGTGACCATGGCCAGTGACAACTGGAGCCACCAAGGGCAACCCTTTATTAACTCTCCTCCTTCTTTCCCCCTCAATGCAGGAGATGAGTTAAAATGCAGCATACCACGTGCACGGAGGACAGGATCCACCACGCGCTGGAGCGGTGCCTGCACGGGCTGGGCAGGGATGCTGTGGCCAGCAGATGGGCTGGTAGGTGAACCTTAACCATGGCCATCCCTCTCTGGAGTCTCCTGAGCCCTGCTGGGGTGTCTGAGCCAGGGCTCTGGGTCACAGGAGCTGCTGGTGCTGTCCCTGCTGGTGCTGTCCCTGCTGGGGTCTCACCCAGGGCTCTCTCTGGGTCACAGGAGCTGCTGGTGCTGTCCCTGCTGGTGCTGTCCCTGCTGGTGCTGTCCCTGCTGGGGTCTCACTCAGGGCTCTCTCTGGGTCACAGGGAGCTGCTGCAGGCCTTTCCCCTCCCAGTGGTCAGTCAGAGGTGGCATCCAGCCTGGCCAGTGCTCCTGGGCACATTGCTAGAACAGGAGGGTGTTCCAGGGCCCTGAACAGGTCTGGCCATGTAAGGATGAGTAGGGCAGTGGTGTGGGGTGTCAGCTGTCCCTGAGTGAGCTGGGCAGAGGACAGGGCTTTGTCCAGCCCAGAAACAGCTCCTCTGTGCAATCAGCCAGCCCTGCCGGTGCTGCTGCCCCCAAGGCAGGGCCGTGATTGTGCTGCATTGTCACACCCAGCACGGGGATGTTGTTATCAACATAGGGATGTTGTTATCAGCCCAGCCCTGGCTCAGATACTGTGGTGGTGGTGCCCATAAAGAGCTGAGCCTTGCTCAGGGGGCTGTGAAGGGATTTGGGCTGGTGTGGTGAGGGCAGAGCAGCAATGAGCAGAAATAATTCCTGAAAGTAATTCTGACCTTTCTGCCTCCTAGCTGTCAGTGAGCTGTGATTAAATCACTGCCAAACCCTCTCGTGGATGAAATCAGGGGGCTGTCAGATTCTGATTCCTTCTTGTCTGTGTAGTTCTTTCAACCCTTTCTACTTTTCTTTTCCCCTACAAGACCAACAAAGAGGTGCAGACCTACCTGCTGCCTGCTCCCAGAGCCACTGGACCCTTGCCACTTCCATGCTGCAGCATCACCCGGGGGCTGGGTTGGGGCAGTTCTGCACAAGATTCCTGTGTCCTTGTCTTTCCCCTGCTCTGGGAGGCAGGCCCTGCAGTGTGACCCACATTGCTGGTTCCTGGAAGCGCAGCCTCGTGCTTGGCACGGTGACAGAGCATGGCCAGAGCAGGGCAGTGTGTGCCCATGGAGCAGGGCAGTGTGTGCCCATGGAGCAGGGCAGTGTGTGCCCATGGAGCAGGGCAGTGTGTGCCCAGAGTAGGGCAGTGTGTGCCCAGAGCCCACCTCTGCTGTGATTACATCAATCAGCTCCTGTGTCACTCACAGCTCCAACCCCAGTCCCTCACCTCCATTG